ATTCTTGTTAAAGGTACTACACATTAACAATATTATACTAAATCAAACAACTTTTATTTGTTATTTTTACTCATGAGTTTTTCATTGTAGAGACTGACTCTTCATCAGTTAACATTCAAGCCGAGAATAGATCTAAGTATAGGAACGACTCAATCAAGAGGGAAGAGTTACGCCAAGCTTTACTTAACATAATAAATACACCATTAGATATGCAACAATATTGGATACACATCAGATGTACATGTATCTAGTTAAGAGTTGATGTATCTAAGTTAAAATTATATGTATTTGTGAGAAAAAAATTCATATGCTTACTTTTTTTTTGGATTAGTGATAAGACAGATACTCTAACATCGTGAGTTGTTCCTAAATTCGATTGTTTCAATTACATTCCATATTTAGATACACATAATTTATGTATATGCTTACAACTTACTATGTATCCGAGATACACGTTTTTGAATATAATGTATGAAATTGATACTTGATACATCAAATTAATACTAGATACATATGAAAGATACATGAAATTAAAATTAGATCATATAAATAGATACATAAAATTAATAATAGACACATATAACAAATACACGAAATTAATACTAGATACTTCTATTATACATATGAATGTACTTGTATGATACTCATGTATCTAAGTGTTTAGTTTGTAGGATACATCATCTATTGATAATAGATACATCAAATTAATGAATTTATTATTTTAAGAGTACTAAAATGAAATTAATCAAATAACATGACCAAGATATACATGTTTTTGTTTTTTATTAATAATAATATTAATGAATTTATTATTTCAAAGAATAATAAATGAAATTAATTAAACATAAATACACTCCTTGATTTGCCCTATATTAAGAGATTTGATTAATTTAATTTCCAGAATTAATCGCCCATATATTCTAAAAATCATCAATTACTCCTCTAATTAAGGAAATCAGTTACAATCAATTAATTTAAACAAATAAAATACGTATCTCAATTTTAAAATTCGACAGATACATGTATCTTACAGATTCAAACTCATGTATCCTAAGTATGAAATATGGTAGAGGAAGTAATATTTGAAACTATTGGGAAACTTAGTAATTAGGACCTAAACTAGTGGGATTTATGTAATTTTGCCTTAAATAATTTAGGAACGTGAAGGATGTGGGAGTGATAGGGTTAACTTTAATTGTATTATATTATACTCTCTCATAAACAACATATTGGATTTTTCTTTTTGACGCTTGTGATATATGATTCAACATATTTAATTCCGGTGCAAATTCAAATTTGGTCAGACTTCATGGATACTTGGAAATCAAAAAAATAGGGGGGGGGGGGGGGGGGGGGGGGGGGGGGGGGGGGGAGGTGGTAAGGTCCAACTATAATTTTTTGAAAATAAAAAAAGAGCTTCATGTTAGGGGTGTGCAAAAACCGATTTAACCAATAAACCGAACCGAAAAAAACACTATTGGTTTATTGATATTGGGTTGTTGGGCTAACGATTTTTAAACGGTTTTGCAAAATTTTTTATTGGGTTATTGGTTCGGTTTCCGGTTTTATAATTTTTGTTAATGGTTAAACCGATAACCCAGTAAGACCATACTAAATTTACTAGTCTTATTGCTAATGGTTAAACGATTGTTACCTTCACACTTTTTGTTAATGGTTAAACGATTGTTACTGTCACACTTTTTCCTTTGAATGTGTCTAGTGTCTAAACTTGCAAGAAAAATGATTGTTACTTTTATGATTATTACTTTCATGCCAAATGCTGGAAAGATCATATGGTTTATTTAAAAAATTTCTTATCGTGTATATAATATATATGAGTATTTTCTTATTGGTTAAACCAAAAACCGAACCGTTAAGTACCATAAACCGATTAACAAAAAACCGATAAGAAATATGTTATTGGTTTGGTTATCAGTTTGATGTATTTACAAACCGAAAACCGATAAACCGAACCAATAACACCTAAAACCGAACCGAACCGACCGATGCGCACCCCTACTTCATGTGCTATCCATATAAAGAAATTGGGACACGTTTGGATCTAGAAATAAGAATAGGTAAAGGGTAAAATTAAAGTCATCGAACGAGGGAATAGAATGGTCCATAAACCAAACAAGAGAACAAATTGGAAAAGAAGTTAAAACAGACCACTGAATTGTGTGTGATAAACTATGATAAAGAAAGATTGTGATGTTTACATAGAACTACAATTGAAAAATCAAAGCAACCATGCGTGCAGAGTGGTTCTTATATTTTATTTTTATTTTTTATATACATTTATAATATCACAACGAGTCAGACCTAAATGTGTACATAAACATCGATAATTCAAATAACTAATTTTATTTTGTTCGGAATTGAGGTAGAGTTATAAATTTTCTTGTTTTCACATACGTTTATACAATACAAGCATTTGCACAAACATATTGGTTATTTGCATCGACTCACCTTGACCCGAAAAATAGTTGAGCTTACATTCTTTGCATCTCTTTTTGTTGGTGCCTCTCACTATCACACAATTTCGATGTCTTAATATTGCTTTATTTAACTTCACCAGTATTTTTTATACAATTTTAAAACTCGAAAAGATTGATATTGCATGTTAAAATTGTACGATAGTGACTATTAAATGTTATTTTTACGTTGGACACACTCATGCAATGGACTATTTTTCAAATTCACAATGGGAAAAAATACATGAAAAGACCATCCTTAAAACTTAACTACATAATTCATAATTCACAAGTAATAGTACTTTTTCATTATTAAAAATATGAAAGTTTTTTTTTATTACATATATAGCAGTTTTAAAGAAGTTGACAAGATAATTATTTTTAATATATAGATATAT